GAAAATTCGACTCAAAGGAGATGCGGCAAGACAAAAAACCCACATACACTTCACACTTCCTGGTTCCCCCCCAATTGCCTCGCCTTCAAGTCAACGTCAAATTTGTATCAATGTTTGCAGAGAATAACTGTTATGGCTAGAATGCTCTGAGTGCATTTGTAAAATAGTAAGATCAATCGTATTAAATGGAAGTGCGAACAAAGTTACGCAAACAATCGCAACCACATTATAACAGTCAGGAAAAGTAACTATTAAAGATTAGGGAAGCGCAAGTGACTATAAGTTAGAAAAATTTAAACAGATCAATTGTTCAAAACAAACGTGATAGACCAGCCCCACTAATTTGAAGTTGGATCACTGTCATGTTGCCTCAGTGGCATTTGGAAAAGAATTCATTCCCTTCCAAACGAGGCGCTGGAAGGAGCCCTTTTCGCCTGTTTCCTCATTCACAAAACTAACGTTAGCTACTGAGCTACGATGGTGGAACTGGTTCAGTCCTTTCGGAGCTTCAAAGATGTATGAGAGCATGGAAACTTACCTTCTTCCGATATAGTCTCCATCACTCCAGTACGAGAAGACCCCTTGGGAGGGTTGAGACCATAGGACTGCATGAGTTGAACCATTCGCTGGGTGTAGCGTCTCTCTACACTCTGGACCAGAGCTTCTGCCTCCTCTAAACTTCGGATGGTGGAGGGTTTCATCTGCAGATGACACAGCGTCTCCTCAAACTGCTGCTCCACAGCATCTGGGAAGGGAATTCGCTCGAAATGCTCCAGCTCCGGCGGCATCTGATCCCTGCCCGCATTTGCGAGAGCCCCGGCCGACTCTGAGTCTCCATCTTCTTGCTTCTCTTGCTGTTCAATATTACTAGCGTTAGTCGTCCACTTGGAAGGCGTGAATATGGGATGCATTCGCTTGGACCAGTAGTAACGCTACAAGAAGATGAAAAAGAGGAATGAGTTATAGATGATATGAAACTTACCTGGAAGTAGACAACAAAAATGTTGAGTTTCTTCCGCCGACTGCCCCGGTCGAAGTAAGACCCACAGGTCTCCAATAGAGTACAAACTAGGGGAATTCGCGCCAGAGA